AGTTTAATTGAAATTTCACCGCCACAAAGCAAAGGAGGCTGGTTAGTGTTTCGTTTAATTGCGCTTTTATAGTAACAGTTTAAAAAGGCAAAACAAAAGGCTAAAAATTTGGGTTTTGTAGGAAATACTTTCAAAATTTTTAAGATAATATAGTTTCACTCTTATAAGTAAATTTTCCATCTTTTACAAACAATTTTTTAACCAATTTAGCTTTTGTTTTTCTCTCCTTACAGGAATCATCAATAGCACCGGTAAACTGTGGAAGGATCAGCGTCGCTTTTTGCACGAAAAACTACGCCAATTCGGCATGACTTATATGGGAAATGGAAAGCATGTTATGGAGAAGCGTATTATGGTAAGTGTCTATTTAAAAAAAAAAAACTATCATTAACTGGTTTCAACAGCAATTTAAGTGTAAAATTATTTTTTGCCTTCTGTAAGTTTAAAATTATTTTTTGCCTTCTGTCATAATAAATTCAAACAAAAAAAAAGTTCACAAAAATTGCTTTCGTGAAACTGGCTATGAATATATGTATTACACATGTCAAGCCCAACAAATAATTTCGCTTAGAAAACGTTTTCACAAATAAGTGGTACAAGTAAAAAAAAAATCTAAAACTTGAGTTCCACAAGTTCCACATATGTTCCGCTTGCTAGTAGTATACATTTCTCATGCTAAAATTAGTCGGGAGTTCAAATAGACGCCACATTTTAACATTTTAAAATACGATCCACTTACCATCCACAGAAGTTTCACACTTTCGAAGCTACTCTTAACATTTCCTCTTCCGAGATTCACTTTTTTTACACGTGTCAAACACATAAATATTTCCATTTTTGTTTATCCAAGTTAATTTTTTTTTTTTCAAAACAAAAAATTATTTTAAAATTTGCGCTCCAACAATTTCTGAATGCTTTCCAAATATGGCTTATACTAAATTTTCTTACTCAAAACTAGCTTGAAATTTAAAAAGCTCCACACTCCATCATTCCACAACAATCCACACACGTTCCACAAACTAAACATTTACCCAAGCAAGTTTTTCTAATTTTCCATATATCACGCACCTCAAGTAAGTTCGAAACAACATCCACACGTAAAATGATCTGCTTTTGCCGCTCTTCTCATCAAAATTTAAGTTTTTTTAGAAAAAAATTTCGTTCAAAATTCCCGTTACTTGTTTGATACACAAAACTGGCTTGAGATCCACTTGCATACCACACATGCCCCACCTGTTCTACACTAACTACTTTTAACATTCGCTTTGCCAGCTTTTTCTAATCTCGATTCTTTCACTTTCAATTTTCGTCCATCAACAGACCGAGGTGCACGAATACATTCACAACTTACGCGTCTCCGAAGGTCAGCCTATGGATATGGCGCCCGCCATCAGTGTAGCCGTTAGCAATGTCATTTGCAATATTATGATGTCCGTACGTTTCTCCATTGATGATCCGAAATTCCGTCGATTCAATTTCCTCATCGAAGAGGGTATGCGTTTGTTTGGTGAAATACACACAGTCGACTACATACCCACCGTACAGTATTTCCCATCAATTTTGACTGCCAAAACGAAAATCGCTAAAAATCGCGAAGAGATGCAGAAATTCTATCGCGACGTGATCGATGACCACAAAAAGAGCTTTGATCCAGCGAATATAAGGGATTTAGTTGATTTCTATTTGGTTGAAATTGAGAAGGCGAAGGCGGAGGGACGTGATGAAGAGCTGTTCGATGGCAAAAATCATGGTGAGTACTATACATACTCGTACATATAGAGTGTTGAAAAAATCGCAGTAAATTGAAAAAAAAATGACTTTGAAGAGTTCCTGTCCAACAACCCACCACCACCTAAATACATACATACAATAATCAAATCATTTGCTTTTTTGTCTCTTCCTCTACTCTCCACCAGACGAACAAATCGTTCAAGTCGTCATCGATCTCTTCTCCGCCGGCATGGAAACGATCAAAACCACTTTGCTCTGGATTAATGTATTCATGCTGCGCAATCCCGAAGCGATGAGATGCGTACAAGAGGAGCTCGATCAGGTTGTCGGTCGTCATCGGTTGCCCTCCATTGAGGATTTGCAATTTTTGCCAGTGACCGAATCGACAATTTTGGAGTCGATGCGCCGTTCGTCCATTGTGCCGCTCGCGACTACACACTCGCCCACAAGGTAGGTTTGCGCTCGCTCCCCTTAAGCGATGATAAAACATGTTGCTATAATAAATGCTTATTTAAAAGAAAAACTACGAGTAAAAACATTGTTCAGATATATCTAGTTATGTGCATATACATACATACATATGTATGCATGTGCGTAAGCGCAACAAGTTGTCAAGTGATATATGGTGGTTAGTTGGTTAGCGGCATTGTTGTTGCTGTTGTTATTTGACATTGCAGACCAAACGAGCGCAAATAACGCACATACGCGCATTTATGCGGTTTAGTTAGCGTATGTTTGTTTGTATATACATATGTATGTGTTTAATCGAAGCGTGTAAAATTTGTAATTGCCAAGTGGTTGAGCTACTATCGCGCAGCTTTGTTGCCGTTTTATTATACTTATTTACGGTAATGACCGGTTGTGCTGCCTACTTACGATTGCTGTTCTTGTTGTTGTTGTTGTTGTTGCTATCATTGTAGCATATTATTTTGCAGGCGGAAAATTGCGCGCACCGTCGCGTCCATTTTTCATTCATTCCAATTCATTCATTCATAAAAGCGTAAAAATGGGCAACCACAGCAATAAACAAATAAACAATTGTTCAACGACATATACAAATTAATACGCACACAAATACATAAGTTCGCACATATGTGTGGATATATCTGTGTTCGTATGGAATAGCAGCTTATGCCGAAAGGCTGGCTTTAGTATAATGCGGCATTCGTAGCGTACGATTGCGAATGACTCACGGGCGCCGAGCCGTAGAAGAAGTCCTATATTCTTATTAAGTCTTATCAAAAAATTCCTTGTCGTTTACAGAAGAAAGAGACTGCCGCATTATACTAAAGCCAGCTTCTCGACATAAGCTACTGTTCCATACGAACACAGATATGTACTAGGTCCGCAGACATGAGCTCCAATCACAATAAAAAGCAGTGAAAACATATTTAGTATCGTATTTCATTCATAAAACGATGGGTAGCAATTGAGAATTGACTTGTCGAGAGTGGGAAAAATTTTGAAAAATTTGGTATATCAATTAGCATTAGTTCCCTACCTACAACATATGTATTTGATTTTAATTAATTTCTTATACAATATGCGTAACTTAGAATTCTTTTAATAGTTTACATTAGCAACGCCTTCATCTATCTAAAATTCTCGCCACCAATTTTTATTAACTTTTTTCTTTCTAATGCCTCGCCGCATAAACATCAGCGCGCGAGTGCAATGCCCGAAGCGAGCTATCTACGCATTTTTCATTGTTACACACACGGCAATCAAGCGTCAAACGTGCACATCAAAGCATTTGCGAGCATGCAAGCCGCGCGCACGGACACACACCCCCAAACAAGCAGCTGTCAACGAGTGCATCCTTTTCCACAAAGTGCTTGACACTTGCGTGCGTCAATTTACATATATACATATGTACATTCATATGTAATGTACACCGCAATCACGCGCCAAATGCAATGCAATCAAACCCCCTTTACATACACATACATAAATTATGATTGGGCCAGCGGGCGGAAGAGCGCGCGCACTCCACGCACACGTACTGCTACGCGATGCGTAGTTTGGCCCAGTTTCGCACGGCGCATTGCTGATTAAAAATCGCGCGCGCGCCACACCGATATATTGCTGTCATTGGCGGCAGCGCAATGCGAACGAAGCATAGTGCAAATAGCGCGACAACGCTAACAGCTGCTGCAGCCATTCGGCACTCCACTGCCACTTGATCACGCACTTGCCCGCGTTCGAGGCTGAAAGCGGCGCGGTGAGCAAGCCAGCTGCTGGAAACTTGCCAGTTACTACATGCTACATATTATTTAAATACTTGATAAAGTATATTTATAATAAAATTTGATAAATATATAAATATGAATGTATAGTGTACATATGTATATGCAATCAAAAAAATGCATGTTTACGTCAGAGTTAACGGCAACGTAGCCACACCACCAGAGGGGCACAACTTGCACCTGATAAGCGCGTACCAAGAGTGTGTGGCAATCAAAAAGTCAGAAATTGCGCAGCATCACTGAACACACATACTATCACATATTACATATGGGTACAAACACCCTGCAGGGAAAACCCCCAAACTAGTGAATCAAATTTTCATTTAGCACTAGTCCTTTATCGCCTCAAACGAACCAGTCTGATTTTAATTAGATCCTCACCAGCGAAAATAGCGAGTGTAGTTACTTCGTCGATGTAAGAATCCTACTTTTGCTAAAAATATATTTTGATGAAAGAAGAGGACAAATTCGAAAATGCATCTTTTCAAAATTTCCCACTACCTATGTATATTTCATTATTCTTTCTAAGTCCCCGTAGTCGTAGGACATGGCAGGGTAAAATTCGCCAGTTATGGTTCTAAATTCACCAAAAACCCAGCTAGTTCGGCACTAGTACGTTTTCCTACAGCGCATGCTTTTGTATTGTGTGTTTGTGTGAAGGTGTGCGTGCCTTTGCGTACATTCGCATGTAGTATATTTTATGATCTTCACTTGCTGTCACGGGCGGGCATTTGCTGCAGTTTTCAATAGAAATGCATTCAAAGCTTCTACGAAACGCAGTTTATTTATATACCATTTATTTTATTTTTAAATAAAAAAAAACAACTAAATTCACATGAAATGCGCAAATGTGTAGGTACAAAGCGTTGCGTTTTGTGTGCGATCAGCAAAATTTGATTTAATCAACAATCACATATGCTTAGTGCTTTAGAGACATACACATATACATATGTATGTAGTTGTAGATATGTACTTTCCCAACGACTTCCTAACGACCTGCTTTAATAACCTTCAGTGCAACGACAACGCCTCTTAACGCCCAACTAACATCTACATACATACTTCCAAAATAATATTTAACTAATCTTTCCGCCCAACTAATCAATTAATTTTTCTCTCTTTTCTTTCATTTTCCAGAGATGTCGAAGTGAATGGTTACAAAATCCCTGCCGGTTCGCACGTCATTCCACTCATAAACAGCGTACACATGGATCCCAATCTCTGGGAGAAGCCCGAAGAATTCAATCCACGTCGCTTCCTGGACGCCGAAGGTAAGGTGCGCAAACCCGAGTATTTCATCCCCTTCGGCGTGGGACGTCGCATGTGCCTTGGCGATGTGTTGGCACGCATGGAGCTTTTCCTCTTCTTCTCCTCATTTATGCATTGCTTCCATATAACGTTGCCCGAAGGTCAACCGCTGCCCAGCTTGAAGGGTAATGTGGGCGCCACCATTACACCCGAGACATTCAAGGTGTGCCTAACGCCACGACCGCTGATACTGAATACACACACTGTGGAACCACATCATATGCGCAATGTAGGCGCAAATTAAGTGGCCATAAGAATCACCGAGCGGAAAGAGAGCGCCTGCGGTTGTGGGAGTGAGAAGGTGATATACAATGGTGCATAGCGTGTGCGCGTGTTACCATGATGGCGCGCATTGCTGCAAATGTGCGAGCACGAAAGTGAGAAAAAGAGAGAGAGAGAGAGATGGAGAGATAGAGAGAGAGCGGTAACGTATGTACGCGCATAATGTTATGAACAAGCGTTTAGCAAGAGAGCTGTTTAAACAAAGCATACGCGAGTGCATGCGCGGCGCATGCGTTGAAATGCGTTTCCAGGGCACGGTTTTGTTCCTAATTGACGACAGTCGATAAAACCAACAAACTTTTTAAAATACAATAACAACAAATAAGCTAAGCGATGCAGTAAACTGTAATTATGACAGTAGTTAGGTATCTTGGCAGAGAGCGAGCAGCACAACGAACTAGGAAGTTTAGATATTTTTCAAGCTTTGTACAAGAGAGAGAGCGAGAGAGAGAGAGAGAGTAGAGGGACAAAGCGGAGAAAAATACAACGTTTTATAGTTTTCTTGAATACATTCAAACTTTATAGTATTTTTATTTAAATATTTAATGCTACTTAAGTGGCACTTAAGTGACAGTTAAGTAATTTTAATCATTTGTATTATCACTTAGAGTGCTTATAAGCTAAAAAAGCGCATAGAACTTAACGCGCATTGGTACAGTCACTTTGGCAAAAGCTTAGTTAATTGCTGCTGTTTAGGTTAAGCACTCACTTAAGCTGCTGCCAAACAGACGTAGGTAAGCGCTAATATATACATATTTACGTAGGCATATCTTTATTTATGTATGCATTTAAACCGCAAGCCAGCCAAGTAATCAACCAATAAATTTTTGTCAACATGTTCTATTCTAGCACCCCCAAGAAGCTGTGTTCAGTAAATTTATGCATTTATATTTTGTATAAATAAATTATTTGTTAGTGTGTATCTTGCACACATACATACACATACATTTGTACGTAGATTTGTGTAAGATTCATAGGTAATTAATTTAAGTCAACTGTGGTTTAGTTTTATACTCCATCTAGAATATTGTATGTATGTATGTATAGAAACTAGTTAAGAATTACTTAGAAGCTTACGTTGGAGGGCGAAATAGAAAATATGATAGGAAAATCGTGAACAAACTAAAAAATATTAAAAAAAAATCGCTAAATAGAAGATCCTTTTTTACTTTAGAAAAAATGCACATCAATTATAAATCTTCAAAATCAAATTTTACAATTTACAAAAGTTGCATTCAATTGTCATTTTTCAGAAGATTTCACGAGCCAATTTGTAATTAGCTACATACAACGAAGTTTACAAAATACTCATTTCAGAATCAATGCAGATATTTATGCGCCCAACTAAGTTTTTAAATATGTACATCCCACTAGGAAAATGAAGACTACTTCTACTTGCATATGAAACGGTAACATTCCTTATCACTTCTCGCGTAAACACCGAAGCAGTTTAAAAATTTACACAGCTTCCTTCTCGCTTTTAGCAGAAGTCGTGAGTAAAGTTTTCCTTTGAAAATAAAGTAGAAACATTCCTTAAAGCTACTCGTGGAAACTCTGCATACATTCCAAAAGGTGTTCTCTGAAATA